TGGTTCAACAAAAACGGCTGCGTTTTGGGGTGGAGTGTGGAGTCGTAGGGGTGCTGCCAGACTCCCGTTGCACTGCAGACAGAAGGCGAGGGCTTCGGCGAAGTAGCTCAAGCCCTTTGAGAATGCCGCTCAAGCATTGCTTCAGCCAGCTGCAAGCGCTGGATTCCGGAAGTGAACGATTCTGTAGCTCGAAGGCAGCCCGGCAGCCCCTCCAAGTGTAAACCGACTGTCGAACGTGTCTTGATACGTTGATATCCCAAACCCAGTTATTGATGAACTTCAGTAACATCTCCAAGTTGCTAGCTAGACTGTCTTGCTTTTGTCCTCGCTTCCAGAAAGAGTTCGCAGAAGCCATTTGGGAGTTTTGAGGTATTTTGGCGAGGCTTTCTCTTTGATTAAATGCTGTCGGGTAGGACTCGACATTCGCACCGGCCCATCATCTCCATCTGACTGTTGGGCTAAGTCGCAGTTTGCTAAGTTTCAGATTGCGACGCCCTCTTTGCGATGCTTCAGGTGATCTTTGGCCGCGACATGATTTCAGTGGAGAAGGAGACGGCGCAGATCTTGCAGACCCTGCCTCAGAAGCCCACCCCAAAAGCGGTCCTGCCTGCCTCTGCGGAGAGCGCAGGCACACTCCACTCGTTGAGCACTGAGGAGTACTCAGCGTGCCACGGGCAGGCCGGGGGCGGAGCTTGCGGCCCCTTCGCACCCTTTAGGCGCCCGCGGGTCCGCAGCTGGCAGGTGGTGTGCGGAAGGTGGAGGCTCCAAAATCCTGGATCAGCGTCGGCAAATCTTCCAAGGTGCGCCCCAAATGGCCCCCCCCAGCTCCCTCCCCATTGTGCGGATTGTTCGTTCCGCAACCTTCGCCCGGTAAGTCGAACACCAAAGGCATCGGGAGTGGCTGCAGTGAATTAGGCTGCTCATCGACGACATGTTCCGGGTCGCCGTTTCGACGGCTTATGTGTATGGCATATGGTCAGGCCCGCCATCTCCCAATCAAAGCCATGGTGTTGCCGAGGCTGGCATGCGAATTCTCCGTGAGATTTCTCCGAATTCTGCTGCCCGGCGGCAGGTGTTTGGGCAAAGCTGCCCGTCAGAAGTTGAGCAGCAGCAGATCCAGGCAAGAACCTGCAGTCTGGTATACGGGAGATGCTTTGTCGCTGAACTGTAATTGCGATGCAAGCGTTGTGCATGAGACACATCCTCTTGGTAGGGCGAGGCACAATTTGCGTTGAGACTGCGACTTTCTGATCAGGCAGCACGAGTGGCAGTCTTTGGCAGGGATTCCGTCTGCTCCTCAACACTGCCCAGACATCGAAGCGCTCCGCTAAGCTGTTTGCATGTACTCTGTGCATGCGGGTTCTGACTTGGTGGTGCTGTTCGAGGCTGGTGTACCGTCTTGGAAGTCTGCCAAGGCTATACGAAGCAGGCTCTGTGCCTCACAGTTGCTTCCGCATTCCCTGTATATTTCGCACAACTCCCATGCCGCCCAGAGCTCTACCTCTGCTTGACATATTGAGTAAGCTCCTCACTTGTCTTGTGTCAACTGCATCTCGTATGTCGGGATGGCCGCTTGGATCTCAGCGTCGTTGAGCCAGATGCAAAGCAAGAGATGTAGCAACAAACCTTTGTGACAACAGACGTCGCCGCGACTCCGCGACACCGCGATGCCGTCTGTCAGGAGCCGGGGCCCGCGGCGGGGCCGGGGCCGCCGCCGGGGCGGCCGCTGCAGCTGCTGTCGTCTTCGGCCAAGCAGGCGAGCCGAGCGAGCCGAGCGGGCAGCGAGCATGCGCGCTGAGCATGTGCTGAGCATGCGCCGCGTGTGGCGGGCCGAGCCTCCGAGCATGGAGCAAGCCGCAGTTGTGGAAGGTTGCAGGTGCTCGGAGAATGCTATGCTACTGCTATGCTGCTATGCAGAGCTGTGGGTCTGTGGGTTTAACGAGTGAGCTATCCTGCAGATCTTTCCTCCCAGCGGGCAGACCTTTGCAGCGCGGCGCAGCACGTCACGTCGATCTTTGCATTGCACACGGGTCCACAGAGTCCGCAGCTCGCGCCCTGGCTGCAGGCACTGGGCCGCCCCAGACTCTCTGGCTGACTCGCGCAGCTGAGCCCAACAAAGCAGCGACGAAGTGCAAGTGCTGTCGGAGATGCTTTTGCCGCCATGTGGGTGAGGCAAGCGACGTGTCGATCCGCCGGGGACTTGGGAGACTAGCCTCTGCTAGTGCAGGTATCAGTTCACTGAGCAAGGTCTGCTTTGTCGACACTGCTGGCACGAGCCTCGACACTCAAAGCTCGAGAAGTTAAACTGTTCCCAGTCTGTCAGTTGCATCTGCACGAGGACAAACGTCTGCAGAAATCCACGTTGACAGGGGCAAGAGGCCCGAAGAAGCTCTGATTTCGAGTCTTTCCCTGTTGTTGTGGCGATGCGCCTCTGCGATGCGCCTCAGGGTTGGCCATCACAAGGAGACCTCCGGCTCTGCTGGCTGCCGGGCCCTTGCAGGGCCTTGCCTTGTCCAAAGCTGCGTGGCATCTGTGCCGCACCCCGCGCCGAGGCCGCAGCGAGGACCTCTGCACTTGCAAGCGGGCTGGCATCCGGAAGCTCGGGACAGGCGAGGCCCAAGCAGGGGGCGTCCGACTCGGGCCACCCGGGGCCACTGCACCTATCCCTTCTGCCGCGGCAGAGTGTTGACATGAAGACTGTGGGGCTGGTCATGCTTCGGGCCTTCGGGCAACCGGTAGTCAGAGGTGGACAGGAAGAGGGCATTCGGCCACAGGAAGCAAAGGGCAGACGACTCACACGGTCTCTGCCAATGTTCGTGTTAGGGTGCCTAGGTCCTAGGTATCTTCCTTAAAGCCAAACAGCCACAATCCGGGAGTTGTCGCAGCTCACTAACGGCAATGGAGGCATGTTACTCAATCATTGTGGGCCGCACAAGCCTAATTCTTACATTCCCTGTCAGGTTGGTGAAAGCCGCTTCAGGCGCAGATGCGGCTGCCCAGTGCGGGTGAGGGAAGTGCCTGCATGGGCATTGTTGCTAGCCGCTCGTCATGCGCCATGCCATGGGAATCCAATCATGTCTCGAATGTCAACTCACTTTCCCGGAGGTTTTCACGAGCCAGCTTGTGCAATGAAATGCACGACTGACAAGGCGCCGTGCTCCTAGCCGACGAGATGGGCAAGACTTTTGTGCCAGGTGGCGTATGGCCAGCTGACCCCGCGGCAATCAGAGCCATTATGGGCTTGAGCGCAAGGCATGCAGTGTGTTGCATAGCTTTCCACGCCAGGCTGCGCACAGAAGGGTCGGAGCTCGGGTTGATTCCTGGCATTTCCTGCCTCAGCCTGTTGAGCCATCGCAGCGGCAACATCCTGCGGGAGTATCCAGGGCCTGCCACCCAGCATTTCCAGTGGTTGAGTGCAACTGGTTGTCGGTGCGGAGGCAAAGTCCAGCAGCAAGCAGACATCTTCAGCGATGGCTGCGGTCGGCGAACGGCGACCCCACCGCCTTCTTCATCTTCCGGCTGTCGCTCGGATGTTGCAATTGTGCCAAGCATGGCCTGCGCAGAAGTCGTTCTGTGCTGGGTGCCCTTGTTCCGTCGTTTCGGTACCACCTAAGTGTTTTGGTCTCGAGTCTTCAGCCTTCTCGTTCGATCCGTTCGATCAGCAGTAGCATTCTGTCAGGCTTGACCACGCCAAGGGCCCGGTCTGTAGCTAGCTTGCCGGAGCCCTGGACGGATCGTGTTAAGTGCTTTGTGGCGTAATTCGTGACAGGTTTGAAGGTTCGGCAGGGAAGCCCACCTCGCTGGCAGAAAACCGGCTGCTTTTTACGGCTCTCCGCGGCGTTCAGAAATCGCCCTGGCGAAGGATTCGCCGAGCGCATCAGCAGTGTCGGGATGTTTTGCATCGGTGGGACCAGCCTACACGGGTGCGGACGCCCCCGCCTGCGCGGCTCTGCGCGGAGGCGCCCTCTGTTGAAAGGCTGAGGCCAAAGTCCTTAGGCAAGGATGCTCTGCGCCGCTGCGCTGCGGCGCCGCGTCCGCTAGGGAGCCGGCGGTGTGCCCTCCTGGCCGGTGCCAGGTCCGGAGGCCAGGGCAGAGCGGCAGAGCGACTCGTCGCGGCGGCAGTTGGCGTCGGCGGCGTCGGAGCGGAGCAAACGCAGGAGCAACGGAGTTTCGGCGGCGGCGCTCACGGAGCGCGGGGTTTCGCATCCGCTCTATACGGCCGCTCCAACGCAGCGGCCTCATCTGCCCTCGTAGCGCCCGAAGTCGAAGCGGCGACGTAGGCTGCTCTTACTGAGCTGCTGCTCGGTGCAGGGCTGCTACCGCCACCGCGCATGCAAGCGCTAGGGGACCACGGGCTCGTCTCTGAAAGCCAGGCTGACTCGCACCGATGTCAGGTCGCATGCCTCCTCGGAGAATGAAACGAGCCTGAGCGATTCCATTCCGGGATCTGTCCGGAAATCTTGCTAGTCTTGCACGCTTCTCTTGCATATTGCGGAGGTGCCTCCCGAAGTCTGTCGGCGCATTTCCCGGCCTCACAGATCTTCAGAGCAATTTGCTTAAAGCATGTCTCGAAGAGGTTGGGCACTCATGTGCGTCTTGTGACAACTGGTGGGGTATGGTGGGTATAGTGCAGCTGGATCGTGAACGTGTGATGCTGAGACGGTGAAGCCTGCAGTCTGCAACTTTTCCCTTCTGCAGGGAAGGATGCGCGTTAGTGCACTTCTGCAGAACTGCGCCTGATCGCAAAAGGCACTGCATTTCGGACATGGTCGTGAAACCAAGGCGCCGACTGCGGCAGCACGGTCGAGACAATGCAGGGGACCGTGGGTGAGTTGCCGAAGTTGCAGTGTCATGGCAAGCGCCGCCCAAGGGAGATCAGTGATGCCGCGAAGTCTGGCGATGGAACCACGACCAACGCCCTGCCCCTCAGAGACTTAGAGCTTGCTAGGACAAGCGTTGGGCAGCTGCGCAATGGGGGCGGGTTGCAGGTTGGCATCAAGATGACAGGCACCTTCCAATGTGCATGGGCTCAAAGGACACATCGACGCGCGCGAGCTTGAGAGAAAGAATCGATGCAAAGTGGTGAGGCCCAGAGTGCCGACAGAAGTTTGACTCCGAGAAGGCCACTTAGTGCAAGTCTTGCAGAGCACTATCGTCAGTCGTGATAGCCCCTTGACAGCTCGATTGAATGGCAACGGCATGCAACGGCCAGGCGAAGCAGCTGCACTGGAAGTTCATCCATGATCCGAATAGGCTCCAGCATGCTCCAGCATCGTACGTGGATGACTCGCCGCTCCTAAGAGAAAAAGATCTTATCATCGGCTGACATGATGCAGGCATCAGGAGGACTGAGAGGGTCCCTGAGCCGCTCCGACAGGACCTTTGAAGCTGTCGAAGTCTTGGCTTCCGGTTTCGCTTTTTAAGGATGGTCTACTGGCGCATACACTCGTTCGGTATGGCTCCTCGCTCTTGAATCAAGTTGCTGCGAATCATCCGTTGATGGTCGGACACTTATTGTGTCGACCTCGCTGCACTCGAGAGCGGAAGCGACCCGTCAAAAATTGAGTGCTCCGGATGTTATCCTCAGTGCGGCCTGCAGCCACGACGGCAGCAGGAGCATGTTTGTGTAATAAGTGTAGCTGGGGCGAAGCACAAGGGAGAACATGCCTACAGCCAAGAAGCTCATGCTGATCTTGGAAAATCAGCATGATTCGCGCAGTCTTGAGGCAGTTCACGGAAAAGCCGTGTTCATGCATTGCAGAATCTTGCTGTTACCTTTCATTCACGTAATCTCATGTTGAAATCACTGCAGACTCGGATGGTGAAAGCAGCCTCCGTCTACTCGTATGAAATCAATGTGGAAGTTCGCTCCAGAGCATCCTCTGGTACACACGGCAAACTGAGGGAACGCCGTCGTGAATCACGCCTGACAGAATGTGTCGGCAGGTCTCGAATCAATTTTAGTTCATCTGGGGTTTATCGGCTTAGTCCCATCGCCATTAACCCTCCGGTTCGCTTCTGGGAAGCGAGTTGTACAAATAGGATTCAACTTGACGACCCAAGGAGCATTGAGCTGAGGCTTCCAAGAGTGTATAAACGAATACTCAGTGGCTGGAGCTTGCTGAAGATCATCAAAGCACTGTAGTGGAATAATGATCGCATCAAAGATGCCTCCGCGAGAGCGGAAGTAATGAATCATACGTTCAGCATTGCAAAATTCTCCTCGCTGCAACAATCCGTACTTACGTAGTCGGGCATCTTGACGAGAGTGAACAAAGACTGTCGTAGAGCCAACATAGCATCGCTTACGTTGCAACAAGGCACCACAGCGATAGTCCCATCCACGTTTTTTCGCAAGCGGCATGATCATCGCGTAAACTGCATTACCAGATTGAAATAGATCGGGAAATCTTGAAGACTCAATCCTCGTAAATTGTGTAGTCTTCGCTGCCATGTTCGGATGTGCAATGCTTGAGAACAGCTTCTGAAAATACTTCGCAAGAATATAAAATGCTGCCAGCGCTCGAACAGGTATGCGAAGTGAAACATATTCTTTCATGTCAAGGCAGAAATGTAACAAGATCATTAAACCAGAAAGAAGAACCGCAGAGTTGTCCTCATACAAAGCGTCCGATGCTGACCCGAGTCGTCACTGATTGCTGTGGCTGCAAGCAGATTTGTGACAAGTTCTGGGCCCTTAATCTTTATAGCCAGTGCTACGGTGCATCCCAAGTGCGACCGCTTGTCGCGCAAAAGTTCAAGGTGTTCTTTGGGAAGACCCTTGAAGATTTCAAGAGCATGTGCAATAGCTTTCAAAAGGTCTTGGTGTTTTTCTTCACCAAGTGTCTTCTCAAGGGTCCTGATCCAATTGTTGATGGCCTGCTTTGTGTGGCCAGTCAAATTTTGGCTGAGCAACACACGATCGCCGAGGTGCTGTGGGTTGACAGCACGATCAACCATGTCTTCTTTCATGACAAAAGGCAAACGAGCTTCTTGCTTTCCATCCAAACGGCGACGTTTGCAGGCTGAGAACTCTCGGCACTCTTGCTGTTACGAGTTGTCTCAGCTTCCAACTGAGCTCGCAAGGATTCGATCTCTTGCTTGTCAGGATTTGAAGACGAGGACATGTTCGAAGCAAAGGGCTCAACCTGTTCAATCAGGAACTTTGCCATCAGCACGATTCCATTGAGGTTCACGTTGCTGCCATGATGATGAAGTAGACCAACATGAAGACTGATGAGACATGGTGAGCGGGCAAAGGGAGGGAGCGCAAGAAGTGATGAGACTCAGATGGCCCCATGCAAAAGTCAGTGACGACTCAGAATGAGAAGTTCTTGTGGATGCAAAGGACATGCAAAGGCTTGTTTTGGCTTCTGCCGCAACAGGTTGAATAATTAGTCTACAGTCTCGATGGATTTGCTACGAGATCTGGAGTGGGAGCAGGTTCGAAGAATGCTTTAGGGTGCTGCATCCTCACCGGCCTTTGCACAAAAAGCTCTTACCGAATTCACTCCACTAGGTCGAGGATCATTGGGGGGACTCTTCGGTGGAGGAGGTGGCGACGGTGGTGGTGTTGCAAAAGTAGCCAGATTCGGTCTCCACATAATACTACTTCTCGGAGTTCTGTATGGTGTGGTTGAAGGGTCTCGAGGTCTCAGAATCACAGACTCTTTGACGGAAGTCTTTAGCATAGCTTGGCGTGGTGGATCACCGCGAGCAATGCTGTGTGCATGTGCAGCCACACGATCCTGAAGTTGATCTAAGAACAACGTTCTCACAGAACGGTTGGTGAGAATTCCGAAGAGCACCGTCGAATGCCGAGGTGTTAAGCTGCCGAAAAGGTCACCCATTTCATCTGGTTGATCACCATCACGACGACGCTTGGACGCTAAATCATACACAGAAACCTCAGAGTCGACATGTAGTTGCAATAGTACAGTGCTCAGCAGTCAGAGCACTTGCAGAAAATGTTTTGTTGCAGGGGATTTCAGCAGAAAGTATTACTGTGCAGGGTCTACAGCATCCTTATCCATAACAACCGTACGTGCAGGCTCAAGCGAAAGCAGCTCACTCCAATCTTGTCCCCATTGTTCATCACTGTCGTTGGATTCTCGTACTGGGGAAAGAAGATAAAACCTGGAGACCTTGGCGCTGGATTCTCTGATTGCCCAACTGCGAGTACCTAGTGATGATTTCACTCGCTGCATTCGATTCTTTCTGGATTTAGTACAACCCCCTGCTCCTACTGACGAATTTTCTTGGGATGTCCAACATGCTGTTCTTATAAGTTTCTGTCAAGCCACTGTCACAGTCAAGCTTCCTTATGAGCAGATGTTTACCAAGCCCGGAAAAGTCTGGTTGCACAACAACATCATTATGTGGCAGATTGATACAGACAAGTTCCCAGGCCCCGTTTTGTCTGCATTAGGAACTGGTCAAAGCACTTACAGATAGTGGCATGGATGCAATGAAGCTTCTCTGTTGGGTATCTTCAAAAGCGGCCGAGTTTTCCGAACCAGCAATGAAACTGTCGGAGTCAAGCCTTCTGACACTGCTTTTGGATTCTTTGGTCGAGCTGCTGATGAGGGTGACGATATGGTTGCAGCTGGTTTAACCAGCAAGCTTGCCTTTCACTCCAAGAACAAGTGCGGTGTCCTCGTCAGCGGCACCACCAACTGCGCACATTCGAAGTCTACATCAGCAAATACCTTTTATGAAGTGCAGAGCTTGCGAGACTTTGAGCTGATCAAGTTTCCATCCAAAGATAAGCGACCATTGAAATACTTGAACAGCTGCAGGTTGGGCAAATTCCAAAAGTCTGCAAATTCGTTGTCTTGAGCATCCTTCAATATCATGGGGTTGAGCGTGGTTTCCGTTAACCGAGCTGTGCAATCGCCAGTGCTGCTGCAACTCCCTTAGGATCACAACCTGGAATCGGACTTGAAGCTGACATCGATATGGTATCCAACAGCATCTCAGGCGTAACAGGTCCGTCATTGCTGCCGGATGCTGGTGCTGCACCTGCTGGTACAGGTGTAAGAGGTGGATGTGGAGGTGGTGGTGTCATGCAGGTGGACTGTCGTGACAAAGGTGGCTGCGCCGGATGTGCAGGTCGTGTCACAGAGGTGTTGATTGAAGGTGGAGGTGGAGGTGGTGTGGAGTTGTCAGGTGGACAAGAGGTGGGAGGTGGAGGTGGAAACTGTGGAGGTGGAGGTGGTGGTGGTGTACTGCAATGGAAAGGTGAAGCTGAAGGTGGAATGATATGTGGTTGTGCTTTTGAAGTTGCAGGAAAAGCTGCCTAGTAATTAAAATTGCCGGGTTGAGGTGGAGGTGCAATAGCCATCTCTCCGAGCCCGCGCTCGCTCACTCCAGCAGCCCGAGCCGCCGGAACTGTGCCCCGATCCAGTCCACTCAGGTCTACCTCGGGCTTCCGGATCGATGCAGCCTTGGCTTTCGCCCCTCGCATACCAGCGGCATTTTGCCCAGGTTCCTGAGAGGACTCACACCTGTCAGTGCCTCTGTCATCATGTTGCGAAGCTCGCTGATGCCGCTCTCCACAGCACTCATTCTCTTGAACATGTTCTCCCCGGCCCCAAGACCGCTTTCCGCAGTCGTAAACGCAAATTGACTGCTAATCTGACCAGGGCCTCAGAGAAAGGAAGAACACCGTCCCCGAACTTGTGGATCTCATGCTCCGGGCAAGGAAACTCCACGAGGTGCTCGGCCTCCATCCTGAGGACCCCGACCCATGCTCGGATCTGAACTTCAGCGAACGGAGTTTCCCAAATCGTAAGCCCCGCCACGTCAACAAACAAGACTTTCCCCAGACTAGCTTTGTCCAGTTTGCGCTTAGCAACCTTCTTACGCCAAACCGCTCCAGGCATGATCTCTGCGGTCCTCTTGAGAGGCACCCTGGAGGAGAACTAGAAGATCCCGCTCTACTGTTCTAGATCTCATCGTCGAAGAGCAAGATCCCGCAGCCCATCAAGAAGATCCAGAGCCTCCCGAGCTACATGTACTACTGCTACACTTGTGTCACCTGTTTCGAATGCTGTGTATGCTGAGCATCCTCAATGTCCAGTGCAGACAGTATCTGTAACTTCAGGTGCACAACCACAAGCTATTCCACAGTTGGAACCAAGCGCGGGCGAGGAGGCGAGCTTGGGTTGGAGGCCGCTGTCGAAGAGGTTTCCGCTAGAACTCACTGAGAACCCGTTGGACGAGGACCCCGATGTGGACCGATGGTCGGGGCGAATGCTGTCGAGACGGCGGTGCTGCAACTCACAAAGATAGCCCAGAACCTCACGAGCAACAAAAGCCCAGACC